AACTGAAGTATTCCTCTTTCTGAACCAAGTAGAGAGCCTTTGAGAGAGTGGTGTTGAGAGAAGTAAGGGTCGGCCTCATGGTCGCCGCTTTTTTTCTTATCTCTTTTGTCAACTCTGCTCAACTTGGGGTCAGCTCTAGGGCGATCCTTCTCCGTCTCGGCTTTTGCCACTGCTGTCGCTACTGCTGCTTCTCTAGTTGCCTTCTTGTAGGCTTGGGCATCTTCTGCATTTATGTATCTTCGAGCTCTAGTCATTAGCTACTCATAGTTGGTAACATAGTTTACGATGAGTGAGTCGGATAGCTTGTCGTCCTCTAACCTTATTGAGATTGTAGTCATAGCGACCATGTTGCTAGGGTCATCAACTTTCAGCCTTTTAGCTTGGAATCTCTTAAAGTAGTCTCTAAGAATCTCTCCAGGCTTCTGCCTCATCTGCAGCAGGACAGAGCTGGGCTTCTTCTGCTTGGAGTTGGCCAAAAAATAATATATAAATTTTTGGCTAAGTTGCTCAAAGCTATGACTGAACTTTCTGTCTAGAGAGTTCCACCATATCTTAGCGCTTCTTGTCAAGGTGATAGGAAAGGATCTATAGATGATTGGCTCAGTTACCTCCTGCATGCTCATCGGATCATAAAAATTCAGTGCATGCTTTGTTGGATCTCCCTCGCCCTTGTACTTCTCAATATGCGGCATCTTGAACTTGGCATAAGGGGCATTCATGATCCAGTCGGCAAGCTGAGTGTTTCCTCTAATGGGGTCTGCTATAGTGTTAAATGTCCGGTCATAACCAAACATAAGATTAATGATAAAAGGACCTGAAGCAGCGTGAAGGTGTTAGGGCCGTATGACCTGAAGCAGCGTGAGGGTGTCAGGGCCGCATGATGTTGTCCACAAGGTGCGCTCATGGCCTCCATGGCCAAAGCTAGGGCTTTCCCTCGTCACTTCCAGATACTGCTGAGGTTGTCGAGGAGGAGAGGCGAAATGAGTCTACTAGTGAAGTGGGGGAGAAGTGTACTCCGCATAATCCTCATGTGTTTGTTGCTTAGCCTGACCTGTAGGAGGCGGAAGAGGAGGAGGGACGAATGCATGACCCACAACAAGAGAAGAAGGAGGAGGAACAAACGACAGAGAAGGTTGATGGGGGAGGAATCCAGCTGAGGAGTTCATTCGTGAAGGAAGCGAACCGTTGCTAAAGAGATTAGGAAATTCTTTAGGCATATTCATCCAGTTAGGCTGTGTTTCTTCAATGGACGGAATAGAGGATCGACCTGGATGATCGGAACCAACCATCTTGTGCAAAAAAGAAAAAGAGGCCCCACGGTAGGTGACAAACTGTTAATGTCAGATATCAAATAGGAGGATAATTATGGAGTTGGGTTCCTAAATCTTTCTGGCCCCACAGTGTATTAGGGTTCCTCAATCTTTTTTAGACGGTTAGTTGCTGAGCTGAGAATCTATTCCTACATATAAATAGCACATGAGAGGATCAGAGTTGGGATCTCTATTGATTCCTCTGACGATCAAGTCAGTCAAGTGATTGAGTGGAGAAGAAGTAGGATTAAAATGTGTTCAGCAGCTAGAAATTGCTTATCCATATTGCAGCAGATAGTGCTTCTATTTATAGGAGGTCAAGAGGGGCAGTTAAGTAATTTTGACTAAGTCCAAGCAGGCGGCTCTGTCGATAGATACTTTACAGGTGTCGGCTGTAGGGGGGATGAGTCACCTATGTGTTTAATGTGATGGTGACGAGGAATGCATGGTGCTGACGAGGTCTAACGAGTTATAAAGACTTTCGGGCTAAAGTAATGATGACTCTGATCGCACATTCAATGTGATGACGATCGACTGTCGGCAGGGGATTCGAGGACAAACCGCCTATTGACTCGGCTCTGTGAGAGGGTCAACAAATAACATCTTTCGTCTCGGTCTTGCGAACCTGCTGATGAGTATTGCCTTTTTATTCACCTATCTTGGATTCAAAAGTTCTCGACCCGGCCTCTTAGGTTGTAAAGAAGTAGGGTCAGCTCAAGTAGTGGCTCCAAGTGAGGATGCCTTTTGACACGACCCTCCTTAGGAAGGGTAGTGTTGGTGTTGCTCGAGTCGTTCTACCTAGGACAGAGTCGACTTGATGCTTAGCTGGAATGGATATGGGTTGGCTCCTAAGGGAGGATTAACACTCAGACAATTTCTTGTAGCAACGCTCGTGATTGTGCAACTTGATAAACTCATGTACAAAGCATTTTTCATCTTTCATTTTTTTCACATGCAACATTGCCTTGAACAAGGACGAGGATGAATGACATCTAACTTTCGCTTCTCTCCATGTCTTGTACAAGAATATTTAACATCAATAAACTCATTGGTTTTCTTTTAATGACGAGATGTTCTAATTAAAATGTCAAATTTGGAAGTTTTTGCATATTTTTTGTAGTAAGAATAAGCTTCCTCTTGAGCTTTAAAGTCCATACGTTTATATGGTTCTATAACTTCACATTCATCTAAAACATCTCTTCCAATATCCGTCTCCCACCTCCTTGTCATTAACACCACCAAGACCATGATTGCGTCACTTGCAAATGAATTAATATTTATAGGTCGATTTAGATCAAAATTCTCCATCAAACACCTAACATTAATAATCAAATCAAAATAATAAATTGAAAGGATCACTACAAAATTACGGGAAAAATTATCAAATTGTTGAGCATAAAAAAATACAAAAGAGGTGACATAAACTACACCTCAAATTCCAAATTCAATTGGTCATCTTCAAACTAAAATTTCTCTCGATGACTCGTCAACAATTGATATCAAGAAACCCGAAATTTAAGATGGAAATCAATTTTACAAGAGAAGGAAGAAAAGGGAAACTGGGATAGGCGGGAGCAAAGTATTAAGCGCCCCAATAGATTTGGGAAAGCTAAATTTGACAGCTTGCATCTTGGGGTAATCTGAGGGTAACTTACTGTACAAGAGTTTAAAAAAACAGGGATATTAATGTAAAATAAACGCACCCATCCACATAGAAAAAATTAGGACACCTGTCACTTTTTTATATAGAGAGGGGTGATGGAGACCCGCGTGGAGCAGGTGCCGCTAGAGCGCCTCCAGCGAACTCTATAAAACTTCGGTGAACACCGAAACACGCGGTCGCCATCGCTGCTCACCCTGCTCCTCTACTCGCATCGCAATTGGGGTAAGCTGTGGGCCCCACTTCGGACACAGAAGCTCGGCGGCCCACCGAACCTCCACTGCTGATTCCGCCTTTCCGCGTTCCAGCCGTGGGCCACTCTCCGCGTCCTACAGCGCGTGCTATATCTGAGACATTGTGCAGCTCAGTGGCATACATAACGACTCCCAATTATCTTTTGAGTACCTTAGCTGATCTACTGCGTTTTCCAGTGTTTGTCGAAGCTTCTTTTGCCTAATCATACGGCACTGACAGTTCTGGCAGTCGTAGTAGCATTAATTCCTTAGTAATTACGCGCGGATATCATGAGATTGCGGACAATCCAATACCCTCTTCAGAAGTATATGCATTTTAATTCCGAGAATCACGTCCGGCAGTGCCAAGGTCCTTTCGATGCTGACGTGCGAGAGAATTACTTGGTAAATGTTACTATCTCCACAATCACTCCGCATGATGATGCATTCATCCAATAAAGCCAAATAACTACACCTTTCCTTAGCGACCTTGATGTATAGGCACTTGGTCAGATTCACTGACTGATATCCATTTGGTTGCGAATAACACCCATCGAACTTCTCATGCGCAGATTTTGGTGCGCTGCTTAAGGTCCATATAACTGACTTAATAAGTTACAAACGTTATCAAACGGTAGAGAATCAAGTCCTCTGCGTTTTCCATGCTTAAATCTCTTGCTGTTGAGATCTCCATTTTGACGAAGCCAGTCTTCACATCCATCTCGATGTATGACGAAACCGATTTAATCGCCGCCCATTGCGATAAGCCACTTTGATTGGTAGTGATCCTACAAACTGCGTGCATAAATATCAAAGAAGTCTATACCTTTTCTTTCCTGAGAGAATCCTTTCGCCACCAGTCTTGCCTTTATAGCTTTTCAATAGTTACCATTAGGACGGAGCTTTCTTCTTGAAGATCCACGTTGCAGGACTAATAGGCCTTGCACCTTCAGGTACATGCCACGCAGCTCCCAAGTGCTGATTTCTGGATCAATGATCCATCTCATCATCTATAGTCTTTCCACAGAAGAAACGTTGTTGACTGCATTGCTTCTTGAAAAGTCTGATGGATCTCCTTTCCACATTATTAGGATGATGAAGTCATATCTCCCAGAAAAAAAATACATTTTATTTAACTTAAACTGAATTCTCGACACTTGGGGCAAAGATGAGTTAATCCGATAAACGTCTTTTCCAAATTCAATTGAGCTGGGTCCTCTGTGTGCATCTTTGATGTCAACTAGGCCATTGCTGTAGGCCTACATCTTTGAGCAACTCAACCTTTATGAGATTTCGATAAACTTATCCTCAAATATTTCTGCATCCTCGAGCTTCAATGATTGGAGTTGGTTCCAAGGTCACAGGAACCTACACACCATTGCTTATTCTCCTGCAAAGCCAAGAAACACACATCTGTTTGCCTTTGGGTCCGAAGCTTTAGGCTCTTTTTCTCGATTTTTATTCTTTGGGGAGATTTTTGAACAATTTATTTGGTTCGAGATTAGCCCCCACCACTGATTGACGCATTCCAAAGAATCGCTGAGGGAAATATTTCCTCACACCATAACTGATGAGGTCGGAGTACTAACAGTTGTGTGAGGGCTGTTACCTCTGTTAACTCCAAGTCCATAGCCAGAAGCTCTCCTGTTTTTTTTTTAAATCAGGAGTTAATTAATTCACACTAAATAGTTATTTAGCTGCTCGTCCACATGATCAAAAAAACGCACACGGCAGCTCTCCAACCAACAGTCGCACTCCCAGCCACTTAAAATAAAAGTTCACTCCCCCTCTCGCTCTCTTTTTTAATTTTTAGTAATTAATAAATATTACTATTATTATTCTTTCACTCACCTGCAACTTTCCCTTTTCTCTCTCTCTCTCTCATGGCGGAGCTGTCCAGCGACTGCAATTCTCTCAATCAAGCTTCTTAATTCCAGGTCGGAGCGAGCTCGTTACTCCGTCGTTGAACCGGAAATGGCAACGAGGGGCTACAAACTGCGTATCCTTTACTTTAGTCGTAGTTCTTTTAGGTGTAAAGAAGCTCCTCAGTTCTTTTCTATCTTCATTCTGGTCAGATCTCGTCTTTTTTTTTTTTTTTGCCTTTTGATTTCGTCTTGTTCCTTCTTTGTTCTGGTCAGATCTCGTCTTTTTTTTTTTTTTTGCCTTTTGATTTCGTCTTGTTCCTTCTTTGTTCACCGAGATTTCTCTTCGAATCTGGTTGGTTTTAGTGACGTCACTCCTCCAAGGGGAGCGAGCGGATCTCAATTAATTATGAGTTCAACTGGAATCGTCTTTATTTATGGAGTTGATTCCATAATTGAGTAATTTTGAGAACTCCCACGGGAACGAGCTAGGAGAGATTAACCCATATCTCTTGCATGGTCGTCTTTAACCAAATCTTGAGTATCTAGTGTTTGTTTGGCTGCAAAGTTGCTT